GAATTCGGTTCCTCGGGAACCGAATTCTGAGAAGAAAAAAAAGAAAAAAAAAATATTGAAGGTCAGAATTCGGTTCCCGAGGAACTGAATTCTGACCATGAACAGTAAATCGTTCTACTCTGGTAAATAAACTTGCACAGGTGTCATTTTTGTATTTTTTCTTTTAAAAAATATTATTTATGTAAAATTTTCCGCTGATGTCAAGTGAATCTTTATTTCACGTTTTTTTTAATGTCTCACAATTTTTTGTTTTTTATTTTTTTTTTCATCCTTTACTCAAAATTTTGTTTCTCGTAAAAGTATTTTAATTAACATAGATCTCACATTTTTTTTCTCTTTAATCCTTTTGAAAACAACTAAAATATTGATTAACTTTCATATTTTTCATATTTTTCATATTTTTATTGCAAGATATCAATACAACGTAGATTGAGTTGTTATTAGTGGCAAGGCATGCACAGGGTGTGAAATTTTATTGGTAGACATTTTAATTGAAAATTGCAGTGAGGAGGTAGTGAAGTGAGGTAAAGAAGTGGGAAAGTGATGATAGGAGAGAGTGACGTGACTTGTGCCATTCCACTGCCCGATGTCTGAAATCTTTAATTGTTCGAGACTCACCATAAGCACTTCCAACCTAAAATTCAATTTTAATTTTCTTGTAGTATATTATTTTCAATTTTTAATCTTTTAATTTTTAATTTCATAATTTTATATAATATTTAATTTAGTTAAAATATTAGTTTAATTCCTTATAATATTAAAAAAAAATTACTTTAGTCCTACTTTAATTCTTTGTTTCAATTTATTTTAAAATATTTTAATGTGGGGCTTCCGTCCAAATTTCACAAACAATGTTAAAGATTCGTGAGAATTACGTCCGTGATTTCAAATCATGACTGTGATTTTCATGTCTGGTGTTAAATCTTGGTGGGATGGGGCTTTCTTCGTTCTTGTTCTCGTTATTCGTTCTCCGGTCACCATTGATGTTAGAAATCGTCGCACGTTCACCTCCACTTTGTCGTACACCGTTCCCTCTACCCAGTTATCCCCGCTCTTCATCAACCACAATACCTTCATTTGTGAAACCGCCGCCGCCATGTCGTCCTTCCTCATCACGATGTCGTCTGCACCTAACAGATCCTCGTTTAGCAACACCTTTCTTGTCGTGTCATCCACCACGTCCTCAACTGCACCACCAGGAGGTATCCCTTACTCACGTAAGCGATTTCGTTCAACCTACGGAACCGTAAGGTGCATCGTTGTTGAAAGGATTCTTCGTCACCTTTGTGTACATGAGAGATCAGGAGAAGATTGATGTGGATACGTTGGCGGATACCTTCCAAATGAAGTTTCCATCGGAGTTTGTCACGAAAGCGTTGCTGCGGTGGTCCACAACGACATTGTTTGCCGCATCGACGTCTTCGGAGGGGAGCGAGGAGAGGAAGAGGCGGCAACAATGATCGGAGAACGAAGAACGAGAAAAGAAAAACGAAGAAAACTCTCTCCCACCAAGATTTAACATCAGACATGAGAATTACAATCGTGATTTAGAATTACGGGTGTGATTCTCACGGACCTTTAACACCGTTTGAAAAATTTGGATGGATGTCTTATATTAAAGTATTTTAAAATAATTTAAGATTAAATTGAAACCAAAAACTAAAGTAGGACCAAATTAAATTTTTTTAATATTATAAGGGATTAAATTAGAATTTTACCCTATTAAATTTTTATAAAATATATAATTTTGTTTTATACTATTTTTTTTGGACGGGAATGTATACGAATGATAGAATTCTGAAATTAGTGATATCATATTTAAAAAATAACATAATAATTAATATTTATAATATTTAAATTAAATTATTATTTTTTATTTTTTTATTACTACCTTATTTGATCATTTTTATAATATTTAAGATTAAAAAAACTCATAACAGTATTTAATAATTTATAAATGAATAATATTTTTATAAATATTTACATATTTTCATAATATCATTTCATAATTTTGTTGCTTAATTTATCAGGCTCTACTAAGAGCTTTCAGAGTATGTGTATGAGACCTTGAAAGTATGTTGATCTTTGAGAGATTATTAAGGATATGTGGAGTTGACTTTGTAAAAATCATAGTTTTAAAAATCGGATCGGTCATCAAACTGAGTAAAATATTTGTAATTACATGTATTGATATTTTTAATTATATGTTAATATATTGTTAAAACGTGTGAATATAAGTTATAGTAAAATATATTGGAAAATCTCATTCAAAAAAACATTAAAATTATATATGTAGTTACATGTAAAATAAATATATACTTATATATATTATACTTATGATGACACTTTTAACATTTTTTATGTCAGTATATATAACATCTTTTGTAATATATATAATTCAAATAGCTTCACATAAATAATCAAGATAATAGAAAATCATAATTAAAAGATTGGTTAAATAAATTTTACATTTCAAGTAAAAATTTAATCAAATAATAATTAGTAATAACCACACGTTTTAATTGAAAAGTGATATAATTTTAGTTAAAATGTATTACGAAAAACAATGAATAATAGTTATATTATTGTAAATATATATAAAATATTAAGAAAAATGAATACACACTTGATTGATTTTTTTTTTTTCACGTTAGTTTAATCTTATAGTTAATTGCATAGTTTTAATAATTTAAACATATCACAATTAATTGAATAAAATAATTTGTTTACTATTTATTTCACATTGAATGTCGTAATAATAAAATCCTTTCCCAAAAAATTGATAAAATAATTATCATATGAGCACAATAGCAAACACAATAATAATATTATTAAATAGAATCAACTAAAATTAATATCATTTCATATGACCCTTTTTTCTTTGTGTATGTGTATTAATGACTCATATTTTATATTAAATTTGAATTGAAATTTTTTAATATATAAATTAAGTTTATAAATTTTTAAAATTTGAAGACCATATAAGTTTTGTCATATAGATTTAAATCAACGTATAAAATATTTTTATGACTATCCGTCATTTTAAATTAACAAAAAAGTATTAAAAAGTTTTTAATTTTTTAAAACTTTGTAGACTTGATACATACATTAACAATTTTCAATTCAATGGTCAACAATTTTCAATTCAATGGTCAAATTATTAAGATTTAACGTAAAACATTAATTATTTAATAAGATAAGTATATTAAAATTTATTGTAAAAGTAAGTGAATACCTTCTTTATAATATTTATTTAATTTACTATTTTTTATAATATAAATATGTTTTTTTTTGAAGCAATAAATATAAGTTTTTAGAGCATTGTAAATGTAACTTTTAGTAAATGAAATAATAACTTCATATTAATACTTTTAGTTTATTTTAATTTTTAAATTTAATATTATTATCTATAAAAATTTTTTTATAAATATAATAAATAAAATATAAATTAATGCACAAATTCAAACACCCCATCAATCACATCATGAAAACAATTATTTTTCTTCCAACACATAATAATTATAATTGTGCATTAATTAAATCTTACATTCTATCAAATGTCTTATTAATTAATAATTTACTTATAATTTTAATTACAAATAATCTTTTAACAATAAATAATAATTTTTAATTTTTAAAGTTATTTAAAAATATTTTTTTATATTCTTGATTAATTTTTACCTTTAGTTTTTATAAGTTTACTCATAACTAAGATTAAATATAATTATTGCTTAAAATAAAGAATATCTTTATAATAAAACATGAATATCTAGTAAAATTAATTAAAAATAATTAATTGAATCACTTTTCATATTCTTGATTATTTATCATATATTACTTATAATTAAAATAATTTAATATAAATAAAAATATATTATTATTAGTTGTTGTTGATAGCATAAGTTTTAAGATAACAATTTACTAGTGTTTATTTGTTTTCTCACTTTATATAAAGTAAAAATAAAATCCATGGTATTATTATCTATTTTCTATATTTAAAACCAATATTTTTGTATGCATAATACACGTATTAAATATTTATTATATACAATTAAGATTTACAATAAATTATATATATAATTATTATATTTGAATATATAAATTATATTTAAAAATTAAATATATAATTAAATATTATATAATATAATATGTTATTGTTTTTTATTTTTATTTGATTGTCTGTCTTATATTTAATATTTTAATAGATAAATTACTCTTAGTTTATTTTTCAGTAATATATTCATTCGATATAATAGTTATTTACAAGACATTTAGAATATTACATCCTTGAAATGATTTTAATATTTTTAATACAATATTCATTACATTTCATTAAATATATAACAAGTAATAAAATAAAATCATTATTATACATATATATGACTCATAAAAGACATAATTAAAAAAAACAATTTTCAATTTTAAAAAGATATAGAAAAAAAATAAAAAGTTGTATTTCATAAATATAATTTTTATTTTGAAAATCGTGTTTTATAATAAAATGCAACTGGCTCATTTCCGATTTTTGTTTCAAAATATATCCATTTCTAGAATTTTAGAAAAAATTGAGCATGGAAAGTATTATGAAAAAAATCATATATCTCATTTTATATTGATTTATCATAAAGATAGTGAAGATTTGAATATTTGTTAAGAGTGGAGTTAAAAAATCCGGACTCAATTTTCAATTAATAAAGGTGTGCTGGCAATCCGTAAGGAAGATATTTTGGAAAAAAGCGAAAACGAGGAGCGAATAGTTGATACGTAAATTAATAAGAAAATAAAAAATAAAAAAGGGAAAAGGTGTTGACCGGTGACCAGTTTCCCAAGAGTGAAAGCAGAAGCAGAATCGAACGGCCCAGAGGCGTCAGAGATGAATGCAGGAACCCCCAACCACAAGATGAACACCTGAATTCGAATGGTCATTTTAGGTTTGATTAGAAAAGGATGGGCCCACAGAAGAAAGCCCAATGAAAAAAAGAATTATATAAGAGGAGGGTCGGGCCCTGTACTTGAGAGGAGCAGAGTGAGGGTTTGTGAAAAAGGAAAAGAGAGAGAGAAAATGAGTGCTAGGGTTACGGGGAAGGTCAAGTGGTTCAATGATACCAAGGGATTTGGATTCATAACCCCCGATGATGGCTCCGAGGATCTCTTCGTTCACCAATCGCAGATTCGATCTGACGGATTCCGAAGCCTCGCCGAGGGGGAGTCCGTCGAGTTCGCCATTGAGTCTGACTCCGACGGCCGCGCCAAGGCGGTCGAGGTCACCGGCCCCGACGGCTCCAGCGTTCAGGGCTCCAGGCGTGGTGGTGACGGTGGCGGCCGGAGTTACGGCGGTGGAAGAGGAGGCGGAGGCGGAGGCTACGGCGGAGGTGGCTATGGTGGAAGAGGCGGTGGTGGCGGTGGAGGCTGTTACAACTGTGGTGAGTCTGGTCACATGGCTAGGGACTGCTTTCAGGGAGGCAGTGGAGGCGGCGGCGGCGGTGGAGGGAGGTATGGCGGTGGCGGTGGTGGTGGTGGAAGGTACGGTGGAGGAGGAGGCGGCGGTGGTGGTGGAAACTGCTACAGCTGTGGGGAATCTGGGCATTTTTCAAGGGATTGCCCAACAAGCGCTCGTTGAAGTTTATAATTAGTGTTGTGTTTATGTTTTGTGGGTTGTTTTAAGTGTATTTGGTTTAAATTAGTTTTTAGGGTTTCTAATGGTCTCTGTCCAGACTAAGGGTTTTTATAAGTGAAGGTTTTTGTGTTATGGTTACGATCTAAAATCAAAATCTGTCGTCTACATTTTGCTACAATGAAACTGGTGGTTTTGTTTATCTATCAGTTCATGAGATTGTGGATTAATTTGCTATGGAGATTGTGGTTAATTAGGGGATGAATTTTATTGTTTTATTTTCAAAATTAATCATTTCAAATTTTTTATTTCTAGATCTAATGCAGAAGTTTATTTCATTCTCAATTAAACATTTGATATGGACATGTTTATGTGATTTTGAACTTAGGTCTTTGCAAAGCTCGCTGGAGAATATTATTCATCATCTATTAACATTGGATAAAAAATTGAGGGACATAAAATTTATCTGTTATATTATAATAAATTTAATTTTAATTATATGCATTTGCTGAGAAGATTTTTTTATTGCAGTTAGAAATTGATATTTTTCAGACTTGATTTATTGTAAAAGTCGGAATTTTGCTTGCGTATTTTGATCATTTTTTAGATGTGTTTCAATCAAACCTGAGCTGCAAAAGAGGGTTTTTAGTTTTTGCCTCCTATTCTGTCACAAATCTGCTAGAGGAACAAGATAGCATTAAATGCAACACTTTTTTCGATGTGCCCCGTTCAATAAATGTTATTACTTTTCCCAAGTGTTGCATTAAATTTTTTAAGGTATAGCACATTAATTGTTAATGACTCTTCCTAGGGACTGCAAAAGAGCATTAGAGCATCTGCGATATGTTTCTCACTTTTGATATGGTATTTATAAGTAATTTATATTATAATTTTATAATATTTGTTCTAATGAGGATTTTTTTAAGTATTTCTATTTCTTTATAACTCATTTTACTTTTTTTTTTTGTCTCTTAGGGAGTGTATTGGTTAGGATTTTAAAGGATTTTTTTAGTTAAAAAAAATCTTGCAGATTTTAAAAGATTTTATAGAATTTTCATGACTTTTAAGATTTTGTAGAATTTTTGTAGATTTTAATGATTTTGTGAGATTTTGTAGAATTTTTGTGGATTTTTGACATTTGATAAAATTTTAAAAAAATTTCATACATTCAAATTTAAAAAGAGTCAAAGACAAAAATAATAAAAAATAATAATCTCTAGATAAATAATAATAATAATAATTCTCTATAATATCATATCATCTTAAATAACTTTCATCTACATATTCATAGTTATACTAATCCTTCAAGTATTAGTGTCTTCTCGCTCTTACTCCTAGTGTTTGAATAATAGGTTCAAAAGTATGATCTTCATTAACCTATAATGTTGAAGATGAAGTTTCATCCACTGCTTCAATTGAAAATTCATTAGAACGACATTCTTTATGTAGAAAGTTATGTAGTGTTGCACATACTAACACAAGTAGTTCTACTTGTGTCTTAAATAAAAATGGAGGTGCTGACTTAAAAATTGTGAACCTTGATTTAAAAATACCAAATATTCTCTCCATCACATTCCTTAAAGATGCATGACAAAGATTGAACAATTCTTTCTTATTTTCAGGGTCATTAATCTGACCTGCAAAATCTTGTAGATGATATCTTACACCTCAAAATGGAGCTAAAAATTAGCGTCGATTAAGAAATTCACAATCCACAAAAAAATATTATTTTAGTTATATATTATATGATAATTTTTAACGAAATTTATAAATGTAAATTATTTTAACAAATATTTTAACAATATTTCTTTTTCTTAAAAAATAAGCTAATGAAGACATAAATCCTAAACCTTAAAAAATTAGATACGCCAATGTCTTATGTTAATTTTTTCTTTTAAAATATAAAAAAATCCTAATTTCACAATATAAAAATAAATAAATAAATTCATAGTAAAAAAAATAAAATAATTGTTGAGTCATAAAAGGAGGAAGGATAAGAGTAACAAATCCAATGAAAGGAGAGAGATCGCAATTTTTATGCTGAGAAGGTTCTTCCCCCAACTAAAAAATAAAAGATCCATTTTCATCTCATTCTACTCACAGAAACCCTAATTCAAATTCATCTTATATATATATATATATATATATATATATATATATATATTGTAGAGATTATGATATCAATTTCATCTTTCACCTTTTCCTTTTCTTGACGTGTGTTATAAAAAAAATACCACTTAAAAGTTGAAATTTCAAGCATTTTTTTGTGTTATATAAAGGAAAAAATTTAACTACATAGAATAAAATAAAGCAAGTCAATTAAAGAGAACGAACAGAAAAATAAACCAAGTCAATGACACTATCATTTACATATCGGAGTTTCACAAAATAGGGAATAGGATGAGAATAGTACTACAATTTATATATGAGCAATGAACAATAGTGCAATATTATTAGCAGAGAAAAGAATGGTGAAGACAGAAGCATAGAAAAAAAGAAGATGAAAAACTTACTTTGAAAATTCTTGAAACACTTGAAAAGTCACTTCAAAGAATCCTTCAAAATTTGATGGGTTTGGATGAGGTTCTTTTATGAATTTTGTATTTATAGATAGCACTAGAAAGTCCTTCAAAATCCCTCTCACACAACAATCCTTTAAAATCCTTATATTTTTGAATACGAATAGATTGTTTTCAAGTTGTAAAAAATCTCAAATGAATACGAATAGATTTTAATGGACTCTTTAAAAAATCTTAAAAATCCATATTGAATACCACTAGATTGTTTTTAAGTGACATAAAATCATGATTGAATACTAATGGACTTTTTACTCAAAAAAAAATCTTTTAAAATCCTATGCAATCCTAAACCAATACACCCCCCTTAGTTTATCTTTCTCAATGTCTTTTTTTTCCTCTCATTCTCTCTCGTTTCCTCTATCTTTCTCAACGTCTTTTTTTTTCTTTCTCTCATTCTCTCTCGTCTCTAATTCTCTTTGGTGGGTGGTGGGTGGTAGTGCCGGGGCGATGGCCACAGGGAGTGGGTGGTTTGGGGGCGGTGGATCTGACTTTTGCGAGGTTGAACGAACAAAGCTCTTTCGGGGGTGGTGCATCTAACTTAGTGGAGCCCTTCTGTGGCGCTGGACTTGCTAATGAGGACGATGATGTCGTGGTCGGTGAGGATCGACGTCACCGTGGAGTGTGTCGAGCGGCGAGAGGAAGGCTGAGTGGACGTCGACGGAGACGAGGAGACGATGGCCACGGTGATTGGCTAGTGCTTGTGCGACAACCATGGGGACTGGCTTGTGCGGGGATGACGGTGTTCTCCGGTAGTTCCTGGTTTCTTTGAATTTTGTTTGCGAAACCTCCATGACGTTCCCAGCTTGGAACCGGATGAACCAATCACACCTCACCTTTTGGAATTTCATAGTCCTAAGCACCATTCCTTGCTGAAGCAACGAAGCTAAAAAAATTTGAACTTTTGTTGCCACGTCAGATCACTTCAATGGCAAATTCCTGTAAGCACTGTTGCTTATTTTTAAGATACATTAGAGCATCTACAATTGGAGTTGCTTATAAGCAACTCCAAACCACTTTATATGGGTCTCACTATGCCATGTCACTCAAAAGCAATTCATACTATATTTTTACAATTCTTGCTCCAATAGAAAATGCTTATAAGCACTCCTACTTTTTTACAACTCATATTACACTCTCAACGGCTACTTTTGCAACGTCTTTTTTTTTCTCTTTTTTTTTGGGATGTCTCTCAATGTCTCACTTTTCTTTCGCTCACTCTCTTGTTTCCTCTTTCTCTCTCAACGGACGACCACACGTAACCAAATATAACCCCTCCCACGCCATCAAGCTCTACACGTGGCTCTGATGGCAAGTTGGGGGAGACGACGAGACGGTTTGGGGGCGGTGGATCTGACCCGACGCTAGGTTGGCAATGAGCGTCCCTTCGTCAAAGGTGAGCGGTGCTGGTGCGAGTGGAGCTCCGCGGTGGCTGGTGCTGGTGTGAGTGGATCGGATGGAGATGAGGAGCTCGACGGAGACGCGGTGGCTGGTGCTGGTGCGAGTGGATCTCTGCGGTGTTGCTGGTGCTGGTGCAAGGGGAGCAGACGAAGATGAGCAGCTCGACGGAGACGTGGTGGTTGGTGCTGGTGCAAGTGGATCTCTGCGGTGTTGTTGGTGCTGGTGCGAGTGGAGCAGACGGAGACGAGGAGCTCGACTTGGAGCTCCTCGGTTGCTGGTGCTGGTGTGAGTGGATCTCTACGGTGTTGTTGGTGTTGGTCCGAGTGGAGCGGACGGCGACAAGGAGCTCCGTAGATTTGTTGGTGCTGGTGCGAGTGGAGCTTCTGTGATTTTTGTACCAATCACACCTCTCCATTTCACATTTCATAGTGCTAAGCACCGTTCCTTCCTCCAAGCAACAAAGCTAAAAAAATTGAAACTCCTCTTGTCACGTGGGATCACTCCATTGAGAATATCTTGTAAGTGTCGTTGCTTATTTTTAAGATACAGGTGCTCTTAGGCAATGATTATTACTGTAATAAATACATTTTATACTGTAAAAAGTAAATTAGAATTTACATGTTGGAACATCTTTTATGGCATCTATATGTTAGAATAGAATAACATTACAATTTGTATCATAGATAAATGAATATTTAACGAAGAAATAGAATAGTAGATATTATGAAATTGAGAAATTTAAATTTTAAAATTAATTAGTGGACTAATATTGTTTGATTTTGAAAAATATAAAAATTAATTTTGTAATAAATTTTTTTTGAGGATTTAAAAATTATGGAAATCAATTTTGTAATAATTTTTTTGGAGGATCTAAATTGTATAATTATGAAACTATAGATATAAAAGTAGATTTAAACAATTTTTTTAAAGTTTTTTTGTACCTTTAAATGTGGGACTATTGTTTAGTCATTATTATTATGTATATTTTAATTATTAATGTGTTTATTAAAAAATTAGTTGATAAATTTAGCATTATCCACAATCATCTATGATACACTATTAACATATAACACCTCCTAAAAATAGACTTTTATATATTAATTATTAAATAAAATTATCTTGCATGAGTATTTTTAAGAATTTTTTTTAATAAAAATATTTTTGAGTTCTTTTTATAATTTTTTTTATATAATTCAAATTTTATTTATTATGATTATTTATAAATTAAATTTTATATTTTAAAAATAAATTATTAATAAATAAAAATAATAAATTGTTATAATATAAATTATTTATCATAAATTTAAAATATATTTTATGCTTATAAATATTTATTA